TGGAGAGAGTGTTTCGAGGTGAAGAAGCTCTTTCCTTGGTGTTTGTATGAACAAAAGCTTGAATGAGAACCTGACAGCAGGCTGACTCACTGTTGTGTTGCATCAGTCAGTGATAGAGAGAAGTACAATAAATGTGTATTTTCATAAAACAGGTTTTTATGTATTTCATGTAATACTTTAATAACTCTTTTAAGTAATCTAAAACACAATATTTTCTGAATTGTACACACTGTCTAGTTTTCTGTTTGAAATAGGAGATGACTAGATCAAAGTGCTTCTACCTTTTATATTATTAATGCAACATTATTTCATAAACTGAACATGGCTGCTCTATAAGAACAACCTCCCTTATCTAAAATGTCAGCTTTTCTGGACTCAAGAAAAACAACTTTCTTTTAAGATTGACACCAATGATATTTCAAAGTTAGACATCATATTTTAAAAGGTGTGTTTCTGCGGCATACAGTCATCAGCATTACTCATAACATAAAGGGCTCTGAGACATTTCAGGGAAAAGAAAATCTCTTAACAAGTAACAAAAAAAATGACAAAAATGAACAGGGAAAAAGGAAGCAATTATTTTATGTTGCTGCAGCCAATATTAGCAGCTTCTCCTCAGTGTTAGAGATGGCGACTAGATTTCACAACGTCCATACTGCTGATCCGCTGCGACACCTCGCTCAGTGGCTGTCTGGTTCTCCTCTGCGTGGTCCTGAATGTCAATCTGCAGAGCTCCCCCACACTCAGACAGTAGCTACCAGTGATGCTGCACTAATTAGCCAACCCTCTCGAGTAGCCAAGCCCCCCCAATGGAATCTGTGCAAAATAGAATTATTAAAGAAGAAGGAGGAGGAGTTGCACCTCCTCTGCAGAGGAGCAAACACCCAGGTTCAGTTTAGCATTCACTTCGTCACCCTCTGGCTGGGGAACCAACGATCTCATCAATATTAACACCTAGATACATCCGTTTCTGTAACGCACATTTTTTGCCCCAACCTAATAAAAATTTCATGTGTATCACATAATTATAATTCCTTATTTAAATGAGCACTGTCTGAGGAGCGGAGATGATTTGTGGCTCAGTGACGGAAAAGCAGTTGTGTGGATGCTGATGGTGTGACTGTTTTACAGTTTAGTCAAAGTGGAGCTATGTTTGTGTCTATGTGTGTGTTTGTTGGGCGGGAGGTACACATCCTTCCAGGCCTGAAAACAGAGCTGCCTAGCTGTATAAATAGGTACATTTCCTGCAATTTTTAAAATTTAATAATCATTGGCCCCTCTCTACAGCGCTTGGCCTTCGTCACCTCCTATCTTTTGGCATTCCATCAGCTTTGATGGCTTATTTGCTGATTTGTTTATATATTTATTAATTCATTTACCCACCCAATCCAATTTAAGCTGACATTTCTTGTCGAGATGCGAAGGATGACCTTTGAAAACAGAACACTTCCTGCCAGAGATGTGAAGGAGGTCTCACTCTCTTCTCAGAAAACACTCCTCTCCTCTTCACTTCACTTATCTGTATGCATTGACAAACTGAGTAAAATGCATTTACATTTGTCACTTAATTTAAAGGCTTATGTGTATTAATGCTTTTAGGGCTATCGTTTAAGTAGACAAGTTTGCTAACATGCATTTTATTTGATTGATGACAACTGATTTCAGCACCTCCACGAACATTTCCAAAACACATCCCCCGACTCGTCACATATTGAAGCTTGGTCAAGGCCCTTTGTCGTCGCCTTTTAACGACCTGGGTAGCCCTTTTGTTAGCAACGCTTTGCAACAATAAATATGCAACATCCGGTTAGAAAAAAAAAACGCTAGAAACATGCCATTTTGAAATGGCACGTTATTAAAGTCGTGAAACGTAGCTGTTTGGTTAGGTTTAGGCACAAAAACTGCTTGGTTGGGTTTAGGCAACAAAAATACTTTTAAGTATTAAGATTAAGGTTAGGAATAGATCATCGTTTGGGTTAAAATAACTATGTACATCAGTTAACATGTAAGTTAATTAACATCACTTATGTCAATTTAGGGAACTTGCCTAAATAAAAATATTTAATGTTGACTTTTTGTTTCACACGGGGCACAAACCCCGGTCTCCTGGTTCAAAATCAGGGTGCTATCCAATTTTTTATTTTATACTAAAATCAACAACAAAAACTTCAGATGTTGATCTGTGGTCTGTGTCTAATTGAAGGTCTTACGTCTCGTTTGTTTGGAGGTCTAATGTATGTATATTTGGACATATTTGGTCTAACGTAAGTCTATTTTAGGGTCTGTCATTTGACATGTGTCTATTTGGTATAGATATGTGTCTATTTTAGGTTGTGTGATTGGATGTGAGTGTTAAGAGGCCCTGCTCTACATCACCTAATGAGCTGCTGTTTGCTTACCCACCTTTTCTTTCTCTCTCTCTCTCTCTCTCTCTCTCTTTCCCTGTAATATACTCTATCAGTGTATTATACAGTCCTTTGGGACCACAGGTTTTCTTTGGGAGGTGAAATTTCATGCAGCATCTTTACATATCCTCACACACATCCCCTGTTTTCAGAGCAGCGATGCATTCACATTTGCACACATTTCAAGGTGACAGTATTTAACCAGTTTGTGGGTGACTTCATGCAAACACGCTTCTGTAAGTTTTACCTGTGTCTGAACATTTGCTGTAGGTGTGTGTGTGTGTGTGTGTGTGTGTGTGTGTGTGTGTGTGTGTGTGTGTGTGTAATTTCATGTGTGCATGTGTGATATCACAGGAAATAAGAAAGACCTTAGCTCATCCTTAGCTCTCTGTTGCCATGGCGACACTTCTGGTTACAGGAGTATCTAATATGTCTTCCATACAAATTAACCTACTATATACTGTGTGTGTGTGTGTCATAATGAATTTGGTCAGCCATGTACTAAAATTGAAATTCTTAAAATACTCTCTCTCTATATATATATATTTATTACGTATATACTCATCAACATTGGCATTTTAACATATTATTTTATTTTCATATGGGATCATTTTATAATATTTATGTTTATATTATATTTAAATTTTGTAACATTTCACATTTTTACCTTAGTAGGTTTTACCTCTTGCACACCCTTAAAATGTCAAATTATTTTTCTTTACACATTCATAACATGTTATCAGAATACAGCAAATGGGCATATTAAACATTTTAAATGACTCAGATGTTCACACTATAGCCTGTAGCCTGTTTTTCATTGGTATTTGAAATCCCTTGTGTCTCATATGTCCTACTATTTGCTATATCCTGCATGTGTCATTTCAATTAGTGGCTGGATATATGACTCATTCTGCCCTTATAGACACTGTGAGCTGTGAAATCAGGTATTAAGTGCCACGTTCAAAAACAAATGATTAGATAGAACGGTAGTCTTTACAAAAAGCACACCCTTTTCCCTAAATTGTAAACACTATCCCCCTGTTTTGATTCAGAATTGTCACTGCAAAACTCTACACACAAATCCATTCATTTCTCATTGCCTACACCATGGCATGTGGTCATTTAGAAAGCATTAACTTTCAATATTGTTCCCTCAAGTCAGCAAAGCTCGAGCTCAATTTGTTCAAATTTCTACCCAGGTGGAAACACAAAGAGTCATAATTAACACAGAACCTTCAAGAGATAGATAAATGGACCGGAGTCAGTTCATTCAGTTTTCGAACAATGGATCAAGAGAGATGTGAAGGAAAAGGTCCAGGATACCGGAGAAGAGGAGGAGGAGTAGAAAGAGGAAGAGGAGGAGGAGGTGTAGCAAGAGGCGGAGGAAGTGGTTGAGGACGAGATTCTCCGGCTTGTCTCAGACCAGAATGATTTTTTGTTGTTGTTTGGTTTGTTGTACTGTACAGTACACTGAGGAATAAAACATGGGCAAATGTAAACATTTTTTGTGTCTTTAGTTGTGTTCATCATGTGGAAACGTTTTTGAGGGGGAGAACCAGAAGTAACATTACTTATAACCAGATTCAGTAGTATTGTTTTGAATTTCTCGAACTAGTGTAAGACTGTGTAGTGTGTGTGTTTTTGAGGGCTTGTGTGTTATGTCTGAGGGAAAAGTTGATTGACTGATTTTTCAGCAAGACTGAATGGTTTTGAGTGGAGAGCTTCGTTTTGACCTGAAAATAGTAAGTTTGGGGAATTGAGTGAGAAATTATGGATCTGTGTTCAGAGTTTTGAGAAAGGGAGGCATAATTTCAACAAATGTGTTTAAGCAATCAAGAAAAACTGTAATTTTTCTCTCTGGATGTAATACAGTACATAGCATGGTGCATGGACATAATAGATTTTGATCCTGTAGTGTGCTTTATGACAAACTGTTGTGTTAATTCTCTCTCAGGGATGTTGTATTTCTTAATAACTGTAAAGACAGATGCCTGATGTTCATGTATAAACTGATTCAAAGTTCTGGTCAAAGCATTTGTAGGTCTCTGGCTATTTGTTATTGAATTTAGTGGCTTCCTGAGCCAGAGGGGTTCCTCAAGTCAACTGAATTATTTGACTGAGAAGCGGTCAACTTTCTTTTATTGAGTTGGCTGAGCCCTCAAGCTCCACACAGCCAGGCCTCTTTCCCTTTCTTTGTCAATAGTACTTTGCCTTATTTACAGCCACTAATGCAGGCCTGTAAATCCAGTTCCCCACTTGCTTATTTCATTTGACTTTATTTTATTTTAGTTGAATTTATTTTATTTTATTTTACTGAGATATAGTTTAGTTTACTTGCAGAAACACACCACAACAGTACTGTAGATGTAAGTACACAATGGTTTTGGGTGGGAACTAGGAAACTGAAAAGCAAGAGAAAAATAATCAAAATGACCCACTGAAAGATTTGCTAATTGGGTTTCTGAATCCAAAGGACATCGGAATGTGAAAAAAGTGAGGGAACGGTACAAACAGAACATTTATGACATCAAGCAAGAGACAAAATAATTCATTTGAAGTAATTTAATGTTCTCTTTGTCTTTCTTTCCTCTGTAGAAACTTGTCAAAGAATCCTCTCACCACTCTGTCATGGCAGCTCTTCCAGCACCTCCAACTCTCCGAGCTGTAAGTCGTCTTCTCTCGTCTGATCTCTCTCATTGACTTTTGTTTGTATTTTATTAGAGCAATTTATCATTGCTCCTTACTCATTATCTGCCTCAATACAAATTGTCTTCCCTGCATGCCATTATAATTCCTGTCTTTATTGTACAAAACCACTCATTTGTCTGAGCACATGTAAAAGACCGAACCTATAGGCTGCATAGTGGCACTGTGATCTTATAAGTCATTTGTTGACTTAATTAACGCACACAAAGGAAATGTAATGGTCTGGTAGGAGGAGGGAGTCTAACCCTATTTTCTTGTTTGGTATGAATATTTTAGCAATCATTGTGTTTATGAAATGAATTTGCTCTTTCACCACCAGGGAGAACATTGCGATGTCGACTCGCTTGTAATTTACACATCATTACGCCTGTCAGCACTGTCCATCATTTGAACCTTCGCTGTGCTCTGAACACAGCCGGTGCTTCCTGCGCTCCTGGCATATAAAGCTAAGGTATTGCAGGATGTGATACAAGACTATTTCAAGCAGGCCTCCTTATTGTTCTATTTTCAGAGGTAGAAGCAGGGCAGGTCCTCAGGGGGCACAGCACAGTGCTGATCTGAGGTGCTGTACGCTACAGGCAGCAGTGCGGAGGGAAAGCCCTGCTTACATTGACAGTGTAGTTTTGCATTTTTTTGTGTTTAGCTTATGCTGTCATCCTGAGGAAAACTTAGACCCACAGATATCACAGAACACTCAGTGTTATCCGTCCTGTGTAGGAAGCAATTCACACCAGACCCCATACCAGTGCTACACAAGCGTCATCTCACTATGGGCCCTCATCAGAGGCAGATGGGTCTCTGAATCCCTCATTGTGCCTGTTATTGGGTTGTGAATTTAATTCTTCACTGGATTGTAAAAGTTCTGTACTTTTGTTGTCTTACCAGCTGTCCAATTCTGCTGTTGTAGAAGCTAGTTTGGCCTTTAGCTTCTCTCATTGCTTTTACTGCGGCTGTGTCTACGCTTTGTATCCCATGCCTTAGTATACGATTGCAATAGTATACTAAACTAAGTATACTAAAGTATTATATTTAGTGGTGGAAAAGGTATTCAGGTCCCATACTTCACAATACCACATATCAATATCACAGTGTAAAAGTAATCTTCTGACATTCCAAACTAAACTAAGAGGCCCTGAAAACCTATTTCCTCAGTCACCTTCTTACCATCAGTAACAGCACCCTACACCACCACACTACTTTTATTATTTCACAAAAGAGATTTCCTTTTTTTCTGTGTTTGACTCACTGGTTTGAAGTGGGTGGGGTTCACTTAGCAAAAGGTGATGTCACATACTTCTCTGCACCAGTCACAACACAGCATGAACATGGAGTCAGAATCTGATGGTGTGTTGTTTGGCTGCTGCCAATCAAATCTAATCCCCATACCGTCCTGACGAAGCGGATTACTTTTGAGAGTATAGCTCTTAATAAATAATAACTAATTATGCTTTTGTTAAGCTGTGATTGTGCTTATTTAGTGATGAAGATGTTATAGAGGAATACCTAAGATTTGAAGCCAGGTTGCAGGAGGTTTAAGTAAAACAAAAAGTCAGTCAAAGTATTGAGTATGCAGAATGGCCCCTTTCAGTGTTACTATTACAAAATGTTATTGTTAGATTATTAGATTAATGTGTACCAGCATTGTTACGTCCCCGCTCGATAGGGGTATGGGAGACATAAACATGAACCAGATGTTTTTGGTATGGGTGGAAAGATTATTTATTAAACAGAGGTAAACAACAAAAGTCAAAACAGAAATTGGGCAAGTGGGTGCTGCGTAAAACAAAGAACAAAATATAACCAAAAGAGATCCCTCCTAAATGAGGGATTACTAAACTACCATGAAAGAGAACAAACAAAAACCTCTCTAGTCGTTGTTGAAAACAGAAACACAGGGAGCGCGGCACCCCTATACCTAGTGTATCTAATACAAGAAATCACTAAAAGATGTAAGCAGTAGCAGTAATAAGCTGTGCCCTGGCCCAATTCTGCAGACCAAACATTTAGTTCAAAACAGGATGTGTTACCGACTCTCAGGCAGACTCTAACAAGACAATGGTTACCACTAAGGACACGCACACACAGGGTTCAATACAATGACCCGCACTGAGGCAAACTACATGGGGAATGGTAGCTGCCTGGACACAGCAGCAGACCAGCCTGTTTGAACCGGAGGAAGCTTGAAGGCGGTCTTGCAGGCAGCTCAGGGATTGGAGGAGGGTTGTTGCGCTGCTCCAATCGGGGACCTCTGATGTGGGAGGTGGGATCAGCCAGAACTTCCTTGAAAACCAGCCAATCCCCAGCCGGAAATCTCACAGCCTCATTACCATGTAGAGAAAACACAGCAGCAACAGTAACATACACAGATGGCTGCCCTCAGTAGCCTACTATTTTAATTTCTGATCATGCCCCTCTCTTAATGAAAATCAGTCTCCATTTATGCCCATGTAATTGGAAATGGAACCATTCTCTACATTCAGATACATCTTTTTATGATTTTGTATCAGCCAAGATCTCAGATTTCCTGCTTATCAGTGATATTGGCAAAGTCTCACTTTTTGGGGGAGTCCTGAGGTGTGTTTCGGGCATTGAGGCTGAGCTATATGTATAAGAGGACACTTACCAAAACTCAAACTCTGGAGACACCTTCAGTGCCATTTTGAAAATAAAATATGAGTATAACAAAATTTAGTCCAAAACCCAAAAGTATTCTGTTTACAGTGATAACAAAAAGCAGCATGTCCTCACATTTGAGAAATTCTGGGGAAACAGGTTGGAATCTATATTCGTAAGCTCAAATGAATGCATTTGTGTTAGGTGATAAAGCTGATGCAGCAGTTAAAAGGTGTGCAAGCTGATGGGGATCTCCTAATGGATAACTGATGCCAAGCTGATCAATGTCTAAAGCCACTGGTGTGGATGTTGCTGATTTTCTCAGTGCACTGGACACTCCAGTTATTGGTGAAACTGCAAGGCGGGAAATACATGACTTTACGCTGGGGGAAATCAAAACTGTGATTCATTTTTTCCTAATGGAAAGGCCTGTGGCCCTGATTGGTTTGGAACATTATTTTATAAAGCCCATGTAGACATCATTGCCACCCTTTTACTCTGGATGGTAAATTGCTCTGTGAAATACGAAATCTGTCCTAATACTTTGTATGATGCTCATATATGTCTTCTCTTGAAAAAAAGACAGGGATGACACTAATGTTCCATCCTATTGTCTTTTATGCTCGCTAAACAGTGATCAGAACCTTATTACAAAACCCAAGGGAGGTTAAAATCAAGGGCAATTGGACTTGGTTGAAGATACTAGAAGACGTTTTGTCCCTCATCCGAGGGGATTCTTTAGTTCTGACTGACTGGCAGGAAATTCCAGCTTTTTAACCTCTGTGGGGTTGTTGTCAACATGATCAATACCACTGGTTCGTTAGTGGTCCTGGCAATTGTGATGACAGTCGTTACGGTCGTTGGAGACACCTGAGGCCAAGTCTGAACGACCATCATTGGCATTCTCACATGAGGCCGAATGTGAATGTTTGTTCGGTTTCCTAGGAAGGGATGAAAGGACAGCATTGTGAGTGGGTGATAAGTGGTGTCACAAACCACGTTTCCTGTTGAGAGACGGATTCTCCACATGGGTGTAAATGACCTCCTTGACTCCTTTCAAACCTTCCGTCCTCCCTGTCGAAAATATGTACATTGTTGTTCTCAAAAGGCTGTCCATTATCCTTCAGATGTAATCAAACTGTGGAGTCTTAACCTGAGGAGTTGGCCCTTCTGTGTTGGGGCAATGTGTTTGCGTTGAGATTGTTTTGTTTCCCCTGTATACAAGTCTGCACATTCCTCACTGCATTGGACAGCATACACTAAATTGCTTTTCTTGTGTTTGGGTGTGCAATCATTCGGAGGGACCAGTATTAATCTTAGAGTGTTCTTGGTGGTGGTGAGTGAAGAGAATGCTGATAATCTGGATGTAATGAGGAGTGGACTAATGAGCTCAACCTGGGCACTGGATATGAAGAAGTGGAGGTGAATAGGGTGGAGGAGGTTTGCAATGATTTTGCACTGAAATGTCAGCTGACAGCAGCAGAGAGGAGAACAGAGATATAGTTTGACAACAGCAATATGATTGGCTGATGGAGATTATGGCAAAATCTTGATTGGCTTGGCAGAGGAGCGCTCTCTGTCCCAGATGGTCTGAGCCATCAGCATCACTCACTGGAGCCTTGTTTACGGCCATTTTATTTTCTAAACAAAATCTACCTATCAACAACTAAGGATTACTTTTTTGCTTAACTCATTTAAGATCCCAAGGCAAATCAGTGGTGTTCAGAATTATTCATTCATGTCAGAAGTTCATTTTCACTTATAGCACACGCTCATCAAATAAAAAAAGATAATAAAAAAAGATAACTGTATAATACAGTTTTACTAATATACTAAACTGTCAATTTCTGATTAATATTTAAATCAACAACTATAACCAAAACTACTAAAAATAGCTAGTAGGTTGAAGGATTTTGAGGTTAGTGATATATTCGCACTTATTCAACATTAAAGAAACCAGCACGTACTGCCTTTAAAAAATACCTAAATGAACTGGTTTCTTGTTCTTTCTTGTTCTTGTTGTTTCTTATATCTTATACTCTGGTTTATGCTGTCCACTGCCCACCCTAAGTTTCTTAATATCTGGGGACACTTTACTGAACATATTAGATAGGAGAGGTGGGGACTAATTGAATTGGACTGTGTTGTACTTTACTGTATTGTATTGTGCTTTGATCCACCAAGTTTTCACACCTTCGTCTTGGGTCTTCCTCAACCTCACTTGGTCTTGGTTTCATGGACTTTGACCCTCAATTCACATGTGGTCATTTTAGTCATCGTACAGCTTGACATGCATATGTGTACTTTCTCTGTGAGCTGGCAGTTTGTAAAAAATTTAAATTCAT